GCAAGACGGATCGGACCAGGATGCTGGCGACTAGTGCAGATCTCGATGTGAAATTAGCATAGTTGGGGGGACGGGGGGGGGGGTGAGGTGTGGGAGTTTTTATTCTTGACCCGACACCTGTTAAAATACAAATTTGAGGATTATATGTTGCTATTAAAAAATCGAGGTCAGCGATATGGGTACTTAGGCATTGAATATTAAAAAGGAGTAAGTTTAAATATTCATATTCTGTAGTCGGTCTCTCTTTTTGCCACTGTTTACATATATCGAAATCAGATATTCTGCTGTTCCACTCATTCCATATTTCTTTAAGAATCTTTTTTTCTTTTACAGTACCATGATACTTGTCGACGTTGTTATTTGTGATGTATGGATCAGCGTATCTTGTTCCTTGATTCAGGGGCGTAAGTCACCACTGAAGGCAGGGGGGGCGTAATCCTTTGAATTGGTTTTTTTGGGGGATGTAAAAAAATTTTTCACTGAGATAGTGTATGTTTAAAAAAATTGATTTCTGGTTGTTTGGTATGTTTTTTTTTGCGTAGACAATACAGTTCAGGAACCCGTGTAAAAAATTTGGATTGAGAATCAGATTAAAAATCGATTATAATGGCACTATTATAACCTGATTTTAATCAGATTTTTCAGCTTTAAATGATAAATTTTATTTGATTTTGATTTTTTTAAATTTATTTTAATCGATTACCTACAGCGACTATGATAATAGCTTTAAAAAAATCAAAATAAAATAAAATTTGTCATTTAAAGCCGAAAAATCTGATTAAAATCAGATTATAATAGTGCCATTATAATCGATTTTTAACCTGATTCTTAATGCAAATTTTTTACATGGGAAACACTACAGTAGAAAAGAAGCATGGATTAAAAAGAAGAGAGACGCACACAAAGATATAATGATAGAAAAATGGATGAGTACAAAAGGGATATACCGTTGTTCCGAGGTAATCCAGATTGAGAGACCCATCTACATCTTTTTCAGCACTGTAATCTTCTTTTGCTCATTGTGTTACAAAAAATATTTTCGACGTAGAAACATCTTATAATATGAAAAAAAATTGTTTTTTTTTGCCTTCCTTCATTTGGAGGAAGAAAATCGTCATCGTATGGAGTCAAAAAAGTTTCTAGGTATGTCTAACGCCGAAGGCGTTTACGTCAGCAACTATTGATTGAAATGATACTTTATAGAACGCTGCATTAATAGAAACTATCCTGGAAATAGATTTTAAGCCTTCAAAATATGGTTAGGCTTATGCAATTGATACCATTTATGCAAGCGAAATTGCTTTGTCGGCAGGTCTAAATTCTATTTCAGTGTTGTTGCGCTCCAAAAACTAAATGGTCATTGAATGAAACCGTTGATATTTGTTTAAAAGTTTTTGCCGCCGAAGGCGGCCGCGCTCGTGACCATTTAAAAAATAAAACTCTTTAGGCGTAAAAAGTACCATAAGAAAATGTTTAAATGATATATCACACTTCTTAGGTCTGTTGCAATTGTAAAGTTCTCACTTTTTCGCGAAGCGAAAAACTTTTTTTCACTTTATATCTTGCTCGATAAAGACTTATTTAATTCAGCACTTTTTGCTAAAGAGTTAGTAAACTTCTACTTCATGTCTGTTTTCGCCCTTTTTACTTGTGAAAATAAAGAAAACTTTCAAGTATTGGGGAAGAGGGGGAGCACTACATAAGCAATTTTTCAAACCAGGGGGGGGGGCGTTGTCATAGAAAATTTCAAAAGCAGGGGGGGCGTAACGCCCCACGCGCCCCACCCTATTTACGCCCCTGCCTTGATTATTCATTATATGTGTTAATGTGTCAATTGCTTCAGTTAAAGATGTTGTTTGTTTATCCATTAATAAAGAAATCTTCTCTTGATACTGTTGTAGTAAATGATGGTGTTCAGAAAATTTATTCATCTGTAATCGTAATTGTTCAGTTGAGTGATTAAGTTTGTTTTTCGTCTCTTCGTTTTGTTCGTTGTTGTGAAGTGATTTTATAGCTTCAGATGTAGTTCTAAGTAGGTCGATTTCCATTGGCATAATACATGACAGAGTTGTAGCAGACATGCAATTAATCATTTCATTTTGTGTTTTAATTTGTTGAGCAACTAGATGCCATCGATCTCGAAAAACATTCATTTGTTTTTCGTATTTCATGTTCAGCTTGTTTAATTCTTTGTTGAAATTTTCATCAAGTTTTTGCGCTATTAGCGGTTCGTTTATAACTGTATCTGAGTTAGGATCAAGTTGAGGCCAACAGTGGGCATTTATACTAAATGTTGAATTAACTGTTGATCTAATTTTTTGTTCATTTTTTTAATAATTTGTAATAACATGTGAACGATCATTCCTATCTCGACATTGAGCTGGTATAAATAGTTGTACATGTTCGGGCAAACATTCAGGATGTCGTTTTAGTTCTTTTACGAGTTCACATCGATAATCGGCTAGAGCTGGGCATTTATAATCCGTGGATAAATGCTCACCACTACAATAATGACATTGAATTGCACATTCGAAATGATTACCGGTCTCCCAGTCACAACCACAACGACGACATCGATCATAATTTAGTTGACATTGCTTTTTCATGTGTCCCGGAGAGTTACATTTGGAACAGATAACTAATTTTGAAGCTTCGAGAAATTCATTTACTGTATAAAGTTGACTAAAAAATGATATTTGTCCATTATTGAGTATGGTATTGTAGTCATTTCTGTCAGTAAAGTCAACTCTAACATGCCTCGTTCGATTTGTTTTAGTTCCAATCAATTCGTTACATGAATATTGTGAAATATATTTCTCTTTTACTTCTTGACGAATTTCATCAATTGAAATGTGATTGTGAACAAATTTAATCAATATGGAGAATGGTGGTGGTAAATATTTTGGCAACAGAGGTTCAATTTTGATATTATTAATTTCATGCGGGTAATTCGCTAATATACATAGATGAATAAATATTTCAATACATTTTGTTAATACCATCATATCACCTTCTGAATTTACCCACCATGCGTCAAATGCTAATAGTTTTTTGCATGTTGGGTTTTCGTTCTTAAATTTCTTCTCGATGTGCTTGGTGAGTGCTTGAACAAAACCAGCTCCATTTTGATTTTGAATTTTAGGTGTGCATACAATTTTGATCGGTGGAAAATGACAATCGGTTGCATAATTAATCGCTTGTTTGGAAATGCGAGTTTGATTACGATCATTGCCGGCTTGATTAACATTAAAAGTAATACCATGACGCATATTCGGTTCAATCCATTCTTCGATACGCTCGTCATTGTTATAAACTTCTTCAACATTTTCTTGGCTATTTTGTCGTTGTCTTTTGCTGTTGACGTATCTAGTGTCATCACCCAGTGTACTGTGTTTAGTCAGATGCCTTTTAAATGTTGATGGTGAGTCTTGTGCATTATTTTGAGACATCCTATTATTGTTGTTATAGAAATGCATTTGACGTCGTGCGGTTCCATTGTTTGTTGAATTTCTGCGATTCTGATTTAACTGATGATTTTTAATTATATTCGTGTTCATTTTTGTTTAGCTTTAGCACCTTGGCACCTTAGTTAGTTGTAAAATTGCAACAAAAAATGCTTTTTAAAAATTTTTAAAAGCATGTGTACGTAAACGTGACAACTGTACGAATATGTACGTGGAATGTACGGAGAAGAGAGAATAGAGAAAAAAGAAAAAAAAAGACGTCTAACTCACATATATGAAAACGATGAATGACGTTTTAAAATTAGTTCTTGGAGGAATTTCACACTATCAACATTAGATTCAGCAGTCAAAACTATTATTGTGTTAGGCTTACTTCTACTAGAGCATTGTAAAGTGTCCTTCCGATATGTTTCTTATGCTGGAGTAGTCGAAATTTCGATGAGTGCCGATCTATGTGATGAAAACAGCCGGTGTCTGCCAATTAGTTGCCGTTCAACGGTAATTTTTTGTCGGATAAAACGAGTCGTTTCTACTTGATACCGAACTGAAAGAACTTGCAATTTTTTCAGAAAATTTTCGAACTGTCGCACCTTTTTTACACTTTGACGTGCATTAAATTATGTCGGTACCACATGAAAATGCTTCCTAACCTAGATCTAGTTTAGAATCTCTTCTTGATATTTTATTGGTCACAACTGGCAAAGTAGTTCTTCTGTAACCAGCTCCAACTGGCTCACAACGCAAGATGCATCCAAGATAAATATCATCATGATAACTTTTGTGAACAATGATCTTGAAAAAAAAAAACTTTTTGTAGTGACAACTATTTTCATTTTAGTTCTTGTGTTAATTTGGCTACTAAATAGAGGGCTGCAGGGTGCAGGATTTTTATAACCTGTAACCTGCCCTGTAAATTTTTTGTAACCTGATCCTGCCCTGCCCTGTGAATATTTTTGCGGACCCTGCCCTAAAACTTTCTAATNTTTTCTTTTTCAATATTTTCTTCCCTTCTCTTGTTACTAATCTTAAGTAATCAGTCTTACTGAAACAAGACAAATAATAAATCTAGGTTTGATATCAATAACGAAAAAGCCAGCCAAACATAATGTGTTTGTGATGATTTAATTACAATTTATAAGAAATTCGATCGCATAATCCAAACTTTAGCCTATTATGAGAATGTGAGCGTGGAGCATCTCAACATCTACATCTTTACTCACTCGCTGATCTTTCCTTTCAATAATATTTTTAACTCACTTTTTCTCCTATGGAAAAAAAGGATTTGTGTAGGTGTTTGGGTGTATTTCTTTCCTTCATTCACACTCACACCCACACTCCAAGACCTAAGCAGAAAAAAGTTTGGAAAAAACGGGAACTGCGATTGTAAGTCATTAACTCTCATGAAAAGAGACGCACAAAAACGCGTTTATTGGCGTTTTTTGTAACTCTTTGAGTGCCAAAACGGGAAAAATCTCAGTTTTTGAGAGTGAAAACGTCTTTTTTAAAATTCTCGAATAATAGCACGTTTTAACACTAAAACACTGGAATTGTCGCCATTTTGACACCTGAAAACTTGCAAAAAACACCAATAAATGTGTTTTCATGCGTCTTTTCAAAGAGCGTTTTTGACTTGTAATCACAGTTCTCGTTTGTGGGTTTGAACGCGTTTTTCAAAACTTTTATCTGCTTGAGAAGGAAAAAAAATCACTTGAAATCAATTAAAACGTTTTGTTTTTCGAATATATTGATCATATATTTTGTGAATTCTTTTTGAAATTCACCTATTTCTTTTATTTTTCTTCATAAGATCTTGTTGAAATAATTTATATGAATACGAGGTTTTCACTTTATCTTTTAACTATAAGTAGATTTCAATGAAACTATGAAAATTATAAAAATATTCGAGCCTATGGCTCTTCTCATTTGAAATATGATCAAATTTATATGAAAAAGAGAATTTTTTTACCATTTTTTCATAAAGAAAGAAACCATTTCTCTGCGAGTCAAAGTATTTCAGATGTTGCAAATAATCATTCAGAAAGCTTCATCACAAGTTCACATATATCTAAACTTCATAATGTTCTATATTTAGAAGTAAATTAACTGGCGTTAAATATTGTGATGTATGTTTGAGAAGCTAAAAAGGAACATGTGATATTTAGGCACAGCTGCAAGCATGCAAACAAATAGGAATCTATTTAATGATATTAGTAACCTATGAAGAAGCAACGAAAACATGATATGTTTTGGCACCACGAACACCAGATGAAATTTAGAGTTGAACATAATTATATTTCTAATGCATAAATGAAAGTATTTGAAGGCAAGTAATGTAATAGTAAATCTTTAACACTTTATAATTCATTTGCTGGGATATTTGAGGTTTAGATACATTAACACTCGTGATCAAGTTTTTTTGAATGATTATATTTAACATTGAAAACATCGAGATTCACAGACAAACGATTCTTTTCTACAAGAAAAAATGATTAAAAACTCAATTATTTTATATACTTTTGATCATATCTTGGATAGGAATAGCTATGAACATGGTCGTTTTCGTAGTTTGTCTAGTCTCTACTTATAGAGAAACAACGCAATCAAAAACTATTAAACAATTGGAGTACTTCTCCAGTAACAAATATCAAGTTTGTAACATTATCAAACAAGAATATATCATCTGACACCATATACTGAATGTCCCAAAATCTTTGCACATTTGTTATTTTCCATATATTTCAGCATAGATAAATAATACAAATCTTGATTTTTTTTCTTAATAAAATGCACTGTGAAAAGGACTACAAGCAACAACAGACTACTTAATTAATAGTTACATGTTTTGTTTTTGATATTCGACCTTTCGAAGAAAATCATCTATTGATACAGAGCAAATTTTCTTTCTTATTTTTTCAATTAATAAACCCATATGAAAACCCATTATCGATCGTCGAGTTTAGACCGATCGATACGCATTCCAATTATATTTTCCTATTCATTCTGATATTACTCGTTCGAGGCATATACCTTCTACATAATAACAAATCGCAAATGTAGAGGTATTGATTGTTTAAGAAAAATAAATGAAATTCGAAGATCTTTGAAAAAGTACAACTATAAATTAAATAGTTTGTTGTAAATTGTAGAGCTCTTCACCCCACATCTTCAAAAAAGAAAAACTTTCAGATTTTTCTTATTTATGTATGCTGGAATATATGACAAATAAAATGTGAAAATATTTAGATACATTCCATATAACATCTGAGTAACACAAACAGAGTACTATTTTTGCTCTTCTTTGACGTCCTTTCTGTGGAGAACGCATTTTATCGAGTTTCTTTTGTTGTTCGAAGTCAATGATGAAAGCATATGTCATTTACTTTTCTGTTCTAAGCAACGACAATGTAGTTTTCTATTTTTACAGTCATTGTTTCTTTTATATGTTGTTTCTCGTTTATTAAAATTTTGGATAATATGATGTATGGCGTATCGACAAATATTTGTGGACACAAGGAATTCTTGGATGATACATACCTATATTTTGTAAAGTTTTTAATATGCGTCATGTTCTTATTACTGATGATACAAAATCATATAATATTGAAATGACAAAGAAATTCGAATGCTATTATCATATATCATTTGGTTATTAGTTTTCCTTTATTAATTCAAGGAGTATTGAAAAAAATGTTCGTTCTTATCATAAATCTATCTTAACCCAAATTCCTCTTGATGGACTCTTAGGATATAAAGTCTTTTTAATCTTAATTCTATGATTTTATTCATGAATGAAATATCATATGTTAAAGTTTGAGATATCAGATATTGTCATTGAATGTATCTTTGGAAGTAGACGAATGAAAGATGAACATTTACGAGAAACTATCTATCAAAGTTTTACAAAAGAATTAGAAGATATTAAAGAAAAAATATTTAATATGAGTAGTGTTATTCCAATTATAAACAGATTAGCACTTGCAAGTAAAAGATGAATATATAAATCAAAAGAGAATATTCGACATGCTGTAGAACATATCATTAATTAATCCTGATATGTGTCATAAATAAAAACAGAAATTGATTCCATATTGTATGAGAATGAAGAAATAAGAGCATCAACACTTTCTCTTCTAAACTATCCTGAGCTTGCATTAAAAGAAATATTACAATTACATCATTGATTCGTAAAACAATTGAAAATAATACTTGAATTGCTAGCAATGGAAAATATATTCTCATTGAAACAGGAACTAATATTTGTATTGATTTATTTACTCTTTATGAGTATGTAAATATTAGTGATTCTTATATGCATATATCAAAATAATAAAACAGTTCCGAAGAACATTTGCATGAACCATTTAAATTTGACTCATCAAGATTCAATCAACGTCATCTTGATATACATTTATCATTTGGAAGTGAACCTCGTTCATGTATTGGACAAAATATGACCGTGTTAGAAGCAATAATTATTAAACGATTTCGTTTTGAACTTATACCTAGTTAAAAATATGTTCCAGATATAATTATGGAATGTGGATGAAGATTTCACCTTGATAATAAAATATTTTGTCAAGAAAAAAATTTTATATCTTTTAATTTTTTTAATATTTTGTTGTTTATTTATAGTCGTTCTAAAACATGTAGAGATATATAGCAACAAAACATTAAATTCAACGGGATGTTTCAATAAACTAATTGTCGTCTATCGACAAAAGAAAAATAACACATCATTTTTGTGTTCTGATGAAAAAGCGATGACTGATGATCGTCGATATTTCTCTTATTTTTTTGAGCTTATCATTCATCGATCCAATAGATATTTCATTGAAAAATACTAACTTTGAATTATCTTCAATATCACATTCGAGATTATTTGAAAGAGCTGAACTTAATTTTACTGCTAATTCACAAATTTCATTTATAAACATTATAATAAATAAAATATCAGACTCAATGTGGAAAATAGTGTCGTTAACTCG